GTAGCTCCGATACGTAGCGATGCAGACAGAAGCGTGTACAGTATGAGCCAATCAGTGGCAGTAATGACAGAGCATGCGCTGTTACGCAAAAACCGCGAAAGAGTGAAGCCGCGGAAGTCGAAGCACAAAGTGGCGAGGGTTCACTGTATACCTTCAAGCCTTTAAGACTCAAGACATTACAGCTTTTGATAGCCGGGCACCATCAGCATTCTTCACCATTGCTAATGCACCTGCTTTGTCTTCAGCGAAAGGGTTGGGAAGGTGAGCATCCTGGAATGCCAGTTTAGTAGTACAAAGTACTCTTGCATTGAGGGAGTACTTGAGTGTAGGCCCAATGTCCATCAGCTACCTTAATACAAAACCTATAAATATATGCACATAGATCTATTTCCCCATCCTCATATATATATTTACAGATGTACATCCCTTTATTTAGACCTCTATAAATGCCCTTTGCCTACAAGTTCTTTCCTCTAGTCCAACTATCATGCTCAGCCTTCATTTGGGTTTCAGTAATTCCTCTGTTACTTTACCCTTGATCGCACCCTACCAAAGACTCCTACACCCTCTTTACCACTCATTTGGATCACTTGTTGTTCCCTTATCCCTGGGTTTACTAACACCGCTTCCTTTCCTCCCACCCCATCAGTCCCATTGTTTTCTTCTCCAGATTGTTCATCCAGTCTATCATGTTGAGAGCTGCTGCTCTACTGGATAGTGACATGAGGAGACATGTGGCCTCCTCAGAGAAACCATGGAGGGGTAACAGGACTCAGAAATAAATGAAGCTGGTGTATCCAAAGATCTACATGGGCAACATTCCCCAGAGATCTGGCAATGGAGTTGAATGTCAGAGATCCCATGCAACCCCCACCATACTGTACACTGTTTTCTCAAGGAGATCATGCTGATTAAATTCAGTAACACCTTAGTCATCCCACATAGTTACAAGAGCTGTTTGGCATTACACCTGATTTCTGACCTCCCCAACAGTTTCCCAGCCTCCTTCCTGTTTTCCTCATGATGGTCAACCCTGTCGGATCTTACCAAACTGCTGAATTGCTCGATCAGCGCTCCAGGGCAATTCCAAAGTCATATGAACTCTTCGCCTTTGATTTTTAGCTCTGCGATCTGCTTGTAAGGAAATACCTGAGCTGGCAGCCTCTGAGATGATGGCAATGTTCTGTATCAAATGCAAGAAACACAGAGTCACAGCTGCTCCAGGTAAGCTAGGTAGGCTAGGACACTAAATGAAACCTTCCAATGAAAAGTCCTCAAGTTCATCTGGCCACGTGGCTGTCCAGGACCAAGACTCCCATTTGCAACTATGTGAGGCCATGTGCACATATATGGGCATGAAACCACCAGTGGGTAATGAATGTGATCTGTGTATGTCGAGGAGTGTCCTGACAAGTAGAGGGCATGTCCTTCTCTACCTCATCACTGGTTCAAAGTCCAACCATCTTGCAACCTCTGGGTCACTTAGAAACGAGGAGTCAAACACATGAAATAACTACGACTGACAAGAACAAACCGAACCGAGACTATAAACCCCTCAAAACTTATATATACTCGAGTAAAGCCGACCCGAATATCAGCCGAGGCACTTAATTTTATCACAAGAACTGCATTAAAAATGTGCTGAAAAACTCAGTTTATACACATGTATATACGGTACATAATTGTTTATAAGATATATATTGTATACATAGAGTAAGATTTTCAAGTCAAACGTCAATCTACCTTATATAAATAATTTCCAAGAGTACAGCCTAAAACTCCTGAGACAAGTATATAAAAAAAGGGTCACTCTCTATCGACAATCTCTAAAACTTACAATATTAGGTTGCATTTCAGAAGGGACCAGTTCCTAGAAAAGGACATCATGCTGGTACAGTAGAGGGTCAGCGAAAAAGAGGAAGGAGCTCAATGAGATGCACTGACACAGTAGTTAGAACAACGTGGAAGCATTGCATTCTATTGTTCAAAGGGTCACTATGAGTTATTACACACTGAGGGCACCTAGCAAGCCAGTTAAAGGCTTACAGCTGTTTTGGCTAGACAAAGAGTCAGATTGGAGAAGCTTTATTTTTTATTAAGTTTACATAACAGAAAGCCTCTGGAGACAATCAGAAGCTCTACATCTGTCAAATACAGAGGTTCCTGGGCATGAATGCCTTTGTTTAAACACCTGAAACAGTAAGAGAAGGTTCAAATCAAACCACACGACTAGGGGCCCCTCACCTACGGCTTAGGGCTCAGAGCTTACACCCAGACATGGTGTTTTTATACAGAAATGTCGAACAGAGCCAGAACCTGCTCAATAAAAACCACATAGTTTCCACTGAGAGAGCAACAGAAGACCAAGACTGTCCTGTCAAAGGCAGAAAGTTTGTGAAACTCAAAAAAATCAGCACAGGTCCCATGGAGTTCCAGCTCTGACAAGTTACACTGTGTTCTGATTAAAAGATTCTAAGTTTCCATAGTTAGCAAGAGCTTCACAGAATTCTATGTGCAATACTGGGCATTAACTGCAGTTTATGGTAAAAAAATGGAAATGTGCGAAACAATCAGTGTTTATTTGCAAAAGAAAAATGCTGCAAAAGTTTAATCAAAACGGAGTATTTCATCCCCTAACCAACTGAGAGTATTTCATCTCCTCCGCAAACATACCTTATCGCCATCCATAAACCTTTGTTTTTCTGTGATATTTAGTATTTCTACAGGCACATCGAGTTCTGATCTTGACTCATAGGAGATGCTTCCATCGTCATTGCTAACAACCCGCCCCTTGCGGCCAGTCATCTGCAAAGGCAAACAGCATCGGTACAGTCAGAGGGGTTGGCTGGGTTGAAGAAAGCTCACTGAAAGCACCCTGAAAGATGCTCACCCTAAGGGCCTGCTAAGTGACCAAGATATATTCGAAAGGAAAGAAGGGCCCAGACCCTTGCCACACTTACCTCAGCAACATTCTCTGGGCCTCCAAGTTCATCAATTAGTTCATCCAGAGTATTGGGAGGGAGGTCCTCTGCTAATTTTTCTAGTTTGTCAAGTAGATCTTTTTTCATCTGCTGGGCCCTCTCCACGGCATCCTGACTTGTTATAAGGCTGCTGCTGCTGCTGTTGCTGTTGGCTGGAAGCAGCACATTGGATAAACGTCAGTACCACACTCACCCATGCCACAGACAAAGCCTTTCCTGCCACACGGATACCTGGTGTGCTGTTAGGAGGCGGCGAAATAACCGGTGTTGATGAAAAACTAGGTCGTTTGGATCCAAGACCAGATGCTAATAAGGCACTTTGGATAGAATCTGGATCTATGCTTTTCTTCTTTTTCTTATCTTTGCTTTTCTTGTGATCTTTCCTGATTAACCAAGGATCTGAAAGTGAAAGTCACCGTGAGTGTCAAAGCATGTGTTAGGATACCACTAATGACTTCTTCAAAGGAATAACCCTTGACTGTTTCATTAATACCACCTGATGATTTGTGGACCATCATCAACTACTGCGGTCCAGCATGCCTGCACCTCCTGGGGGACTGTGTTACAAATACACAAGACCGAGGGCAACACCTCACACTCATGTGTCAAACTTCCAGAAGACAAGTTTGGCACCTGCCACCAAACAGAATCCCCAAGGATCATTTGCACTCCACCACAAAGAAAAGTTTTCTGCCCACATGGAAGCAGCCACCAACCTGTGTGATCATGAGATGTCGATGGGATCAGATGATCAGGCATCAGATACCATGGACAAAAAATCCTATCAATGTGAATGAGAGGGACTGAAGTGTGAAGACCCAAAGCCTATCTGTAGACAATTGGACATCCCCTTATAGAAGGGTCACAAGGAAGAGCGGAGCCAGTCAGGGTGCAGTACAGCACCGATGAAATATACAACTTTCCTCTAGTTCTTTAATGTCCCTCCCCCATCCCCCACTATCATGACCGGATTTCTACCTTACAAATCCGACTAGACCAGAGCAGCATGTACACTGACTGGTACAAATAAGAGCCAGAAACAGGGAATCCAGGACAGATTAACCCCCTCGGGGCCAATAATGAGAGTAGTGATACCTTGAGACTAAATGGAAGGTGAGGGGAGGAGAAAGGGGGAACGGACTACAATGATCTACATGTAACCCCTTCCAGGGGGGATGGACAACAAAAAAGTGGGTGAAGGGAAACAGTGGGCGGTGTAAGACACGGAAAAAAAAATTATAAATTGTCAAGGGTTCTTGAGGGAGGGAGGGTGTGGGGCAGGGGGAGAAAATGAGCTGACACAAGGATTTAAGTAGAAAGAAAATGTTTTGAAAATGATGATGGCAACATATGTACAACTGTGCTTGACATGATGGATAGATGGATGCTAAGAGCTGTACGATCCCCCAATAAAATTATTTAAAGTAAATAAATAAAAATAAAAGTTTTTCTTTTTTAATTAATCATTTTATTGGGTGCTCTTACAAATATGTCTAACAATCCATATTTCAATGAGATCAAGCATAATTATACAATTTGTTGCTACTCAAAAAAAGCTTTTCAAATACCCCATCTAAGCTCTAATGCACTGAGCCCCTGCCTGCCTGCTTTCTCCCTGATACCTACTATTCAGGTGAACTTACCATCTTCATCGTCCTCACTAGACTCATCTCTAAACGGGTTGAAATCGTCATCATCTCCAGAACTCATGTTCTTAGAGCTCTCGTAGTCACTTTCATTATCTGAGGCATCAGACTCACTGCCACTGTCATCAGAACTGCTACCAGTAAGGCCGCCCACTTTTCGTGCTTTCTTGGCTTCTCGAGTTATTTCTTCACCTGCCACCAAAACCAAACAGGAGGCTCAGACACACTGATTCTAACGATTCAATCAAGATATCAAGTTTAGCTCTGGAGTTCCTTCAGGACATAGTCAATTATTCCTGACAAAGTAGATACATTAAGGACAGACGCAAAACTCACTGTGAGTGTACAAGTCCTATAAAATAAATCCTAGAGGAAGATAGCTCGTTAAAAAAAAATGATTCTAGAGACAAGGGTTGTAATAGAATCCACAAAATACTGGTCATAGAGTAATTATATAGCAGGCTGTGAGAAGACATCTAATAATTGCGTTAAGTATAGGCAAAATGATAACAGCGTGGGAAACCCTATGAAGCACTTGTACTGTTACACAGGGTCACCAGAAGTCAGAATGGACATGAATGCTTAGGAAACTCAATTCATGAAGCTTCATTTTTAAAGGCCACCCAAATAAGGTGTTAATTTGAATGATCGTATTTAATATTCAGAAATGATGTGGAATGAAAAAAAATTAAGACAAATGCATAAACATTTTATCTATCAACAAAAGTGAGAATGAAACTCAGAAAAGGAAGACAGAATGATATGACCAATCTAAGATACCACTGATTCTAAGGTGCACATTATTTTACTCCATTAAAAAAAAATACCCATAAAACTGTGATAGCCAAGTCAATTTAGGTATATTAAAAACGTGACCACATGTAAGAATATCTTTTTTTTTTTTTTTTTTAAGAATATCTTTTTAGGAGGAATAAAGTGAGGTCAAAGCACAAGCATTCCGTTGAAAACTTCAAACACCTCAAAAAAATAAAGAAAAAACTTTCATACACAGAAGAATGTGATCTTTGCCATCTAATGCACAAAACCACCATTTTACAGAAAGTGCAAGAAAAATCTCGGCATCAACGAGACACCAACACAGGTGTGTCTCAGGAACACTTCAAGGGAACACTTAGGCTAATGATTCACAAGCACAATCCTCAATGAAGAGCACAACACCCACTCTGGGTGGAAGGGCAACTTTGACCAGAGACCCAGGTTTTAGTCCCCACATAAACTGCATAAAGCCTGGCAAATTCCTCAACGTCTTCTGTGGCAGCTTCTTTTCTCCACAGACCTGGAAATCTGAGATCTAATTTCATTTGGTACGTTAAGTGATACAGCACATGACAAGTGCTTGCTGTAGTGCCAAGCACCAATGACTCAAGCTCTCCTTCACACAGGGCTTTCAGTGTATAGTCAACAGTAAGGACTGACATAAAAAATGGGCAACCACCTGCCTAATTCAACGAGGGCACTTCTTTCCCTGAATGTAGCGAGCGACAAAAAAATTACTCACCTTTCCGCTTCTTTATTTTGTTTTCTTTACAGGGACTATCTCTTGGTGAACTGTTGTTACTTGGAGCCGTCAGATCGATTCCCAGCAAACTATAAAGTTTTTTCCTGTCTGGAGCAGGGAAGTGCTTTTCAATGAGTGATTGCAACACTCCTCTGTGAGTGAGAAACACGCAGTGAAGTTAGTGGACTCTGTACAGAATAAAACATTCTAACATCTTAATAAATGTGCTCTGAAAAATTTAACTCCCATCATCCACCCACTTCCATCATGCCAATTCTGTGTCAAAGCAACCCTGTCAGAGCTAAACTGCCAGCATAGGCTTCAAAGGCAAAATCTTCTTGCGAATCTTTACAAAAGCCTATTTCCTCATTTTGCTACCACATGGCAGATGGCAGATTTGAACTGCAGTTAGCAGCTTAATAATAAGCCTCTATGCAACCACTAAGGCTGGTCATCTTACATGTTTTTCCTTAGCCTCACCTGTCCGGCATGAGAATAGAGCCACATGCACAGTGCCAAGATTGCCTAGTAGCTGTTAAAGAAGTGCACAGGAAGCTAATTTTAGTCATCTAGCTTATCTACACCAAGACATCATTTCTGTATGTAACGCATGAGAAGTTTTGCAGCCCCCATCAAGTGAAGTCTTTGAATTCTGGTGTCTGCAGTGTTCTGGATTCTCCTGGCACATATGTTTGGGCACACCAGCTGAGAAAGGTGACAGAAAGGTGTCACTAGTGGTTAAATGGGACAGGACAGTTTGGGGCACTCTTTTTTTTTTAATCGTTTTATTAGGGGCTCATAGGACTCTTATCACAATCTATACATACATCGTGTAAAGCACATTTGTACATTCATTGCCCTCATCATTCTCAAAACATTTGCTCTCCACTTAAGCCCCGAGCATCAGGTCCTCATTTTTCCTCCTCCCTCATAAGCCCTCGATAATTTATAAATTGTTTACTTTGTCATGTCGGGGGCACTCATTACAATGAAACAGACTCGTAGGTAGGTGAATGTCTGGCTTTTCAGAGCAGTTTCCAAGGGAGCCACCTGAACACATGCCCTGCGGCAACAGCGTGGAGGCAAAGGCTCATTTGCTACTTTTCCCCTGAGTTAAAAGTGACTGTTTAGACAAACATACTTGGGAAAAAAACAACTTAAGACATTAGGGTGGGGAAAAAGACATTTTTTAGAAGGCTTCCTGCATAGCTCATAAATATTCCCAAAGTCTTTATTCAGCACTATGACTGGGCCAAACTGGTTTCTGCTCTTCCGGATAAGGGCCTTTTACAAGCGGCACTTGCTCACACACTGTGTAACCCACTAAGATTAACCCAATAAAAACACTTAGCCACAGAGGACTGTGAGGTCCCTGGCTCCTGGTTTCCAACCAATGGAACTGCATCCTGGAACAGTTAAGAGGGTAGACTGTAGACACCAAGATGGTGATATCTCTGAAAAGTTATAGAGGCACAGGACAAGGTTTGCCGCTAGCTAAAGTCAATTTTCTAAGTAAAATCTCAAAATCAAAACACATTACTTGGCAGTTGAAACAAAATCATTCAATTCTCCTCCACCCTCTTCCAGGGCTTCTAACGTCCTGGCTTCTCCAGTAGACTGCAGGCCAATTACGACACACTAAAGCAGAGAGGAAGCATGAGAGTGGTAAGTCACAAACACCGAAGAGCAAAATTTGGGATCGTAGGGTACGCACACATACACTAGAAATTAAATGTTCTCAGGAGGGATCAAAACATTTCCCACCAATTTTTTTATTCTAATATTAGGTGAGAAGTTTGCATTTCACATCATCAACTTTGATTCAACAATTTAAACTACCCATCAAAGTCTGCTTACCCTTCACTGGCTCCTTGATTTTTCTTCTCCAACTGTGTGGACTGCTATCTTCCATCTACCCAAATTAACACTTCCTTCCCTCCCTTACCCTCTCCTTGAAAAATCTTTTCAGTTAGAAAAAAAAAGATTATAGCAGGAAAAAAAACCTGAAGCCTCACGGAGCTGACATCATTTTGTGATCCAAATACCATATACCATGCATAACCCGAGTTTTTCAGCACATTTTTAATGTAGTTTTTGTGGTAAAATTAGGTGCCTCGGCTAATATTCGGGTCGGCTTATACTCCAGTATATACCGCAGTTTAAATTCACAAATAAGAAAAAAACTAAGCTTCCAGGTATAATTAGCGGTTACATCTATGGATGGAAAAACTATACAAATGTTTACTTCTTCACATTTTGCTTTATATAAGTTCCCTATAGATAAATGTAGTGCCATTTTTAAAGTCCTTCCCCACAAAACAGTCTGATTACGTTATTACTTTTACAGCTTCCTTTAGAATGTCCAGGCTTTAGAAATAGAAAGCCTCAATGCTCCCAGAGAATAAACCACCCAAGAATACCTCTGTCAATATCCTCTTCAACAACTTACTTTCCCATTCTTAATTTCTTCTCGAGCCAGTTGCACAACCCTTTTAACTTTGGATGCTATACACAAGTATTTGAAAAACCTCTGGTGTGCAGACCAGAACTGGCCCCACATGGATTTCTTCATCCGCTGCTCAGCATCAATCAGATCTGCCGCTTGCTGAAATCGCTCTCTGGCAATCACCCACTGCAGAGGCAAAAGCACATTTATATGGTTTATCTTTGAGTGGGAGCTAACAAAATAGGACACTTCAACTACAATAATGGAAAGTGCACAACTGAAGCTGTAACACTGATGTAATAGGGCAACTGTAAAAAAAGTGTTCTTAACTGAGTTAGCCTTTTTCAAAAACAGTTCCATTGTGATTTTAATAATGATGCACCTGAAATAAATGGTTCTTTCTATCAATTACTTTAACACAATGGAAACCTGGAAAGCACTATTCAAAATGACGAGTTCCACTATCAGAAATGTAGTCTGAAGACTTCACATTGGATAAAACTGACTCACAGGTATGACTGGGTACATTAAAGCAACAAGGAATTAAAGAAAACCACTCTCACCAGCTTGACTGCTTTGTTATACATTTTGACATAGCTCTGAGAGAGAAGAACTTCCTCAATTTTGAAGGTCACTCCAGTAAAGCTCAGCTGCCGAGCAATGTACATCCCTCTGAGTTTCATATCCATAGCAACAATTTCCATGGCACCAACACCTCTGAATAAAATTAAAACAGAGAGAGACTATCATTAAATACGGTAGGGCTCACGCTTAGTGAGGCAAACTGATCAAAAGCATCTTTAAACTGCCACTGGAAACAAGGAGGGCCAGAATGAGCATTACCTCCGCTCTACTGCTTGAATAAAATCACTGAATTCCCTAAAAGGGGTCCCTTCACCCCATATTCCAAGTCGGTTCATATAGGCCATGTTGCGAGGCTCAGATGCACCTGGGGGTGGGGAGAAAGTCCCAAGATGAAGCATTCTGGCTGAAGAAATCTTGAAATGACCCTCCTGAACAGACAGACACATGACCACTTACTTACCAGTAGCACTGGCATACACAACCCTGGCTTTCGGCAGTTTATTCTGAAGCTCCAAGACTGCCAAACCTGTCTTAGTTGGCTTTGAAGACCCAACAGGACATAAATTCTTTGCTTTATGACACTCATCAAACACGATCTGCATGAAATGAGTTATGGAAATGCCAACTTTCAGGAAGCAGTCACTTTTACTTCTCTGAGGCCTTGGAAACACATCCAAGTTCTGAAGAGAGGTGGCCTTGGGGAAATATCCAAGAGGGCTGAAAAGCACCCAGCTGATAATAATCTCTAGGAATCAATTTGATAAAACACACCCATCATCCAAACCTCAATTTTGTCAAAGTTGAAACATTTTGCTCTACTTGCCTCAAATTCTTTTCACTAAGCTTATTAACAACAGCTAATGAGGTCTTCTGGGCGCCTGTCCTTGCCCTACTTCCCTTTTCTTGGTCCAGAGTACTGACTGAGCATGGGAGGCCTTAAAATAGAAGTGGAATGGTTCGTTAGGACAGAGAAAAGGGCCCAGAGCATTGCACCACAAACTGCCCGCCACGCAAGCCAACGTGGCAACTCTCGGTAGAAGGGACACATACACACTTGAGCAGCTTTTGCCTGGCCCACGTCAGCAAGTGTATCTGTGAGAAGTCACTTTGGCAAGTGCCAATGCAATAATTTTCCTTCCCTTAAGTCTTCTCAAGTGTTCTACTATGAAAATATACAGTGTGAGTCCTCAATAAAGGAATATGGAATTGAGCATCTCCCATACCGTTACTATCTTACTATGTCAGGAACTTATTTCCTAATGTGCTACAGAGGTCCTAAGAAGCCTTATTGGTGCGGTGGCTAAGCACTTAGCTTTTATGCTGAAGGCCAGCTACTTTGTCGGAGCAATATGAGGCAGTACGAGGCGGCCCGGGCCCTCCAAGGGCCCTTCTACTTCTCCTACGTACAGGATTGCTTACTGAGTGGAACCAACATGACTGTGACAAGTTTTTATTGTGTTGATAGTGACAGGATAGAATCAATTTCCCACTGTCCCTCTGTAGTCATTAAAACGCTCAGCTTAGACATTTGTTTATTTCAAGGCTTCTGCTTTCCAAAAGTTTACTTAAATGATTTTCTAAAAAATATCCCCAAACACAACATTTGTTGCAAAGGATACAACTCCATCGAAGTCATCTCCGCACCAATGTAGTAGTTGTTTTAAACGAGTTTTGTATTTCCCACCAGACTGACTTTCGCCAATAAGGGAAGAATAGGTAGCAAAGATGACACCCTTTTTGACACTGCCATTATGTTTAGAAGAAATTTTTCCATATTTAAACTGAAATAGAAAACAAAGGAATTTCATGAACATGACTTTCTTAAATGTTTCCAATACAGCAGAAAAGCTTCTACAGCAAGAACTTTGTTTAAACCTGCTTGGTCTTTGGTAGGCTTCTTGAGAAATAAAAATATCTGCTAAAGATTATTGACTAAATTTCTCCGACATGTCGATTTATACCTCTGCATGGCATAGAGAGCCAGCTTTCACTATACCAAAGTCTCAAAACCAAAAAACCAAACTCACGAGTAAATTGACTCGTAGTGACCCAATACTGCCCTCAGTAAACTGACTCATAGTGACCCAATGAGAAAAAAAAAGATGACAATTTTTACAGAAACTCAGCTATTTGAAAATAGGGTGAAGGGGCACACTATTTTATCTAGAAGCATTTATTATGCACCTACTCAGAGCAGGTCTTCCTAACACAATTTTGAGGAAGTTAGCAGTAAGAAATACGAAGAATAACTGAGACGTTCTTTTTCAGAGCATGTCTAGGTGCAATTTACATATTCGTAGGTCTTTAACAGTTTGTGACCAAGCAAGACAGGCACTATAACTACCAACTCACTCAGAGATCATGCCCGAAACAGCACAAAAGATCCACCACACTGACCAGCCCAAGGGTCACAGTAAAGAGCAAATTATCCTTCATGCAAAAGGGGTCGTGGGGAGTCACCTGCAGGGGCCCTGGGTACCATAGGGGTTAAAATAAAGACTTGCCAAGTGAATATTAAGATTCTAATCACAGTAAAAGCTCTTTTTAGGTGAAAGTTTACAAAACAAAGCAAATTTCCTTTCAATGGCTTGTACACATTTCGCTTTTACTGAGATGCATATACTTCTCTACTGCTCATTTGAACACAAGCTCAAGAACTAGTCATATGTCTGTAGTATGTAGACAGACATCTCTAAACTACTCCCCAAAGCACAGCCCAATTCTCTACATGTGAATGATGCACCCTTTCCAGGCACACTCGTCAGTTTAACGGAGTTACCTGCATGAAATTATTTCAGAGGCAAAAAGCAAAATAAAGCTGACAGCGCAGGGACCAGGATGATTTTGTGTGCTGCTTATAGCACTTCCTCTCACTTTGGTGACACATGGTAAATGTAGGCACAACAAAAAGTTACCTATTTTTCTTGGAGTAACTCCTAGCCTCACTCACAATCAATCACCCTCTGAAGTAGTAACTACGACTATTTCCAGATCACAGATGAATCAGTACTTACTGAGGGACCAACTGAAGAGAATGTCTCCATACCTTATTTAATGAGTGGACCAAAATGTTCTTTGCGCCAATATCCCGCAAGTCTCTTTCTGCATCATACTTTAAGTCATTTGAAACACTGAACCTGTCACCAAAATAATAGATAAGAATTCCATCCTAGCACAATCTGGGAATAATGACAAATCTTAGCATTTAAAAAAAACCTGACCAACTCACTCAAACCCATTCCGCAGAAACAGAAGTGGTTATCATATCCAGACATTTCCATAGCCCGGCCCTCACCCTTACCACAGTGCTCTTTTCCTACTGAGCAAGTAATTTTCATAGATGATGCCGGCGATGGTCCGCCCCTTTCCTACACCAGCACCGTCCCCAATTAAGAAGCCAGCTCGATCTCCATTTGGTAAGAATGTTTCATGTTGCTGAAAAAGAAAGCATCTTTCAGGTATTTTGTCATCAGTCTTCTGAACAATGCTTTAAGAATGTTAACACTATTTTTATAGCAACACGCAAAGATAGTTTTCTGGATGGATACGTTCTATATCCCCTTTTGGTTACCTCCACACAACACCCCCAGGTAGCTAAAGTTAGCAAACGAGTAAGCATTCTCCCATGTCTTTTTCTGGCGCCTAAATAATCAAATACTACAAAAACGTGTTTGTTGTGGTACAATATACAAATGACTTGCCATTTCAATCACTTGTGAGTGTACTAGTCTAACAGTCAACTTCACCATACCAGATACAAAAGTCCACACCAGGTAAATATGAGGGGTGGTTGGCTGGCTATCATAGCGCTGTCTTAAAAGGCTGCAGCATGTTACAGTAACAGCACAATGCATTCAAACAACTCCCCAAAAGTGTGGGCAAGAAAAATCTTTCTTAGTTTTCACCCCCTGGAGAAAAACTGTTAACAAATATCCTTATCCTTATATATGTTCTCATAGAACGGTTTTATGGAATAAATTTCGAGGCTTAAACTTGTGAGATCAAAGGAATTAGGTATTTCTCACCCAGTGAATTACAATGAAATGACATTTCTCTAGAAGTACATTCTTCACAGCCATGCTGTCTTCCTTTATTTTCAAACCTTAAAACTTCTACGAAGCGTTCACAAATTGTTCACGCAAAGACAAATAATTTTGACTTAAATAAACTATTTTGCATGGACTTAGATGAAATGATAAAGACTGAAGTACAAGTATGATAAATTTGAAACATTTCTGCCTACCTGAGCAGCATATGTAATTGCTTCAAGTTGTAATGCCGATAACCAACCATTGTCAATGGTTTCTTCAGATATGGATGTTTTGTACCAAACATCTGGAGGAGTAACGCTGGATAAAGAGCTAGTTTCCACAACAGCATCAGGGTGACGTAGACCAATTTTTACTAAATGAAAAATTAAATGTATCCGGTGTTATTTTAAGTAACTTTCCCAATTTTACTACAAGATACAATATTTTTCTTTCTATGACAGAAAAATGTGATCGGTGAATTAACTATATTCTTGTGGTATGCTATAAAAATGGAGCCTGGGTGGCAAAAGACCAGCTGCACTGTAAGAAAAAGATGAGGCTTTCTACTTCCACAAAACAGTCAGTATTCATAAAGTTTAAGGTGATAAATTTACCACCTTATGTATTGTTTTTAAAAAGGATCAGGGAGAGGAGGAAATGAACTGATATCAAATAGAAAGAAATGTTTTGAAAATTATGGCAACGTATGTACAAAGGTGCTTGATACAATTGATATATGGATTGCTGTTTGAGCCCCCAATGAAACGATTTATAAAAAGTACAATGCCATCTGTGTAAAATGGATGGATATAGAAAAACACCAACTTTATTCATATTATCTGAATCTCCCCTACAGATCATAATCCTAAAGATACTATTTGAATTATTTTCTTAATTCAGTGAAACAGCATGCATTATGATTGTTTTTACCTTGAAAAATACCAACTATTAAATTAAAGAGCAAGTGACTTCCTGTATTTTCCATTGTGAACCACTGAAGAGGATGGGCCAAAGGGTTCAGGGTCACCTTGCTGTTTTCATAACTGCTGTAAAAGCTCCAAAGCAGCCAGACAATAAACAAATGGGCAAGCTAAGTTTCAATAAAGTTTTATTTACAAAATCAGTAAAGGATGGAATCTACTGACTTTTGGTATAAAGGACCTTGGATAAACTCTGTTGTTTTGTGAAAATAATTCTTTTAATTATGGGAGTAGGGAGGGAATAGCGTAATCAAATTTCAACTACTACATCCTACCATTCACTTTATTTTTAAAACCATTTTATTGGGGGCTCTCATAACATTCCACACATCAATTGTATCAAGCATATTTGCACATATGTTGACATCATTTTCTAAACATTAATTTCGAATTGAGCCCTTGACTTTGATTCTCTTTTAATACCAGTAACTACTTCCTGTTGAGTTAGTTCTGACTCAAGAGACCCCATTTGTGTCAGTGTAGAGTGTCCTCTGGGTTGTTTTTTTTTTAATCATTTTATTGGGGTCTCATACAACTCATCACAATCCATACACACATCAATTGTATAAAGCACATTTGTACATTTATTACCCTCACCATTCTCAAAACATTTGCTCTCCACCTACCATTCACTTTAAATAACCAAAATACTAAGGGAGCTTGAGGGTCATACACAGTTGGTAAACAAACATTTTAATTTTTAAATGCTACTATTTGTGCCTTCTTACAGAGACCTTTAGCATACAAATGACAAAAATGCCAGGCATTAAAACTAAAGTCAATACCACTGAGTCGATTTCAACTCATAGCAACCTTATAGGGCCTCTAGAGTACAACTGCCCCTGTGGGTTTCCAAGACTATAAATCTTACAGGAGTAGAAAAGTTCACCTTTCTCCTAAAGAAAAGCTGAGGGGTTTTAAACTGCTCATCTTGTGATTAGCAGCCCAATGCATAATCCACTACACCACCAGGACTCCCTAATTCTAGGCATATAGTTATTTAATTTGATTGCTCCCATATAACAATGAAAATTTTTCAGTAAGAATAAAAAACTAAAAAAAAAAAAAAAAGAATAAAAAACTATTAATTTATAACTAAAATAAATAAACCTTAGTGCTTATACAAAAGGCAGAAGTTTAAGTGAGAAACAGTGGCCTCAAACAGCACAAGTTGTTTAAGGGTTAAGGTGCTAATTTTGATAAAAATTGTTTTAGATAAGCTTAAAGTATAGAGCCCCAGTGGTATGGTGGTTATGAGTTAGGTAGTGATCTGTATGGTTGGCCGTTCGAAACCACCTGCAGTTCCTTGGGAAAAAGACTGGGCTTTCTATTCCCATAAACTATTACAGTCTTGGAAACCCACAGGGGGTTTGCTACAAATCAGCATTGACTCAATGGCAAGGAGTTTGGTTTTGGCTTGGTATATAGTTAAGATACATTTTGTTACCATGAAACACACCTCATGACATGGAAGGATAGTCACAAAAGGACAACTACTGTACTGAGTCCACTGCTGTAGGGACAAGCAACAGGACACGCACAAGCTCAGGCTTGCAGGGCTTCCGGTCTACTGGCCAGTGTCCAGACAGCCTGGTAGACCCTGACTGGTGACAATGCACCATGCACCGTCCTTTCCAAGGGTGTATCTTGAAGGTCACTTTGATGGAGAACCTCTAGTGCTATGGTTCTCAACCTTCCTAACGCCGCGACCCTTTCCTCATGTTGTGGTGACCCCCAACCATAAAATTATTTTTGTTGCTATTTCATAACTGTAATTTTGCTACTGTTAGGAATCGGGCAACCCCCGTGAAAGGGTCATTCGAACCCCAAAGGGGTCACAACCCACAGGTTGAGAACCTCTGGATTAGTGGCTACCATGCAAAGCTATGAAGAGGTCCTCCCAGGCAGATAGACACCCTCATCAGAGAGATGAGAGATACTGATGGGAGAAAGTCAAGTCAGGAGAGGGGAAAGGGAGCAGACACATCTGGGAGAAGACAAGTGCAGGCCTGTTTGCAGAAAAATGGGAAAAACCAACTTGTGTGTGTGTGTGTGTGTGTGAGTGAATTACTAAGAACACTTTTAAGATATGCACATAAAAGGCACATTGGCCCGTTTCTGTATACCAGCTGGGGATCCTAGCCAAGTGCTTTAGAACACTGGGGCATTAAAGTCTGGGTCTTCAAGGGGCACAACATGATCCAAAGGCCATAACAGAAGGATTCAAGGTAGAAACTACACTAGATGACCTAGACTCTACCTCAAACACACCTGTAACCCAAGAACTTAAGACTGAAATTACATGGTGTGTGAAGTACGGAACAGCTACACCAAGAGTATTAAATTTTTGGTAGGCAGACCAACACTGACTTAGCACATCAATCAATGCCCTACTTGCTGTATTAAGATATGTATTACTCTGGCAGAGCTGTGATTGACATCGTCAGTGAATATTATTATAAATTTTGCCTAAACCAACTCTCATTGTCTGTGTAAATTAAGCCCAGCCATGTAAGGATTTATTCTACACAAGTGAATAATGAATGCAATAATTGCGATACATAGGTGGCCTACACTGGTTCAATCTCCCTCTTTCAACACGGTTTTAAAAATTAGTACCATGGGCTAATCAATGACACTATTAACACACGATCCTTACTGTCCAGCGAGATGACTGCTAACATTCTCTACCATAAATTAACAAGGAGGTCTCTAAAGAGAGCAAAGGCAGGTAATAAAACTTAAATCCAGGGATGGATTTGGAGCTTACACTTAATCCTAGCTCCAATCTAAAAACAATTAATTCTTACAACATGGCCCTGCTTGATACTCACCCTCATGAAGGGAACATAGAAGATATGGGTGTTATAACAAAGTATGGTGAAGAAATTAGATGGTGCCCAGCTATCAGATGGAAGAAGCACACCAACATCCATGACTCAAGGATTACAAATGATATAATCCAAAGCCGAAGGAGAGAATAGTTAACAGAGGTTAAATTGGGAGAGTCTAGTTTGCAGAAGGCTACGGGTGAGAGCTGACGCCCAAGATACATTTTCAAAATCTACACAGGATATAAGCCTTTGGTGATTTCCCTCTATCCATAATTGAGAGATGGGAATAAACTGATTAAAAAAACAAAGAGTAATGGAGATGTGACTATAGGAGATTAAAATGATAAACCTGACCCGAACAGTTAAAAAACCTTGTCACTTGATCCCCTACTCTGATACACTTTGGACTAGATCTCGTTTTCATTATTTTTAGTCCTGTCCCCCCACCTCCTTCATTTTGGGGTTTGTCACTGATGTATTTTTGTCATTGTGGGTAGCCCTCCTGAATTTTTTTGTTTGTTTTTCTGTATATAAAATCCAGGATTGACAAACCTATGGAGACAACAAGTAGAATATGGGTTCCTGGGGAGGAGAGATGGGTATGGTAAGGGAGGGGTAAATGAGCAGATAAGAAGTTCAAGGAAGAAAATGTTTTGAAATCTATTATAGTAGCAATTATACAATACTATTTAATGTGAGTAAATTATGGAATGGTTATTATATCTGTAATTGCTCCTAATAAATTTTTTGGGGGGGAGGAGATAACATTCATTATTCACATGTCTATAATTCACTAAGATTTTAGAAGCATTTCTCATTGGAACAAAATGAACTTGAAACCGAACAAAATCCAAACAGGTTATCTCCATTTAAGAATTCTAAAGTCAGGGGTCGGGGGAGGTGGTGGGGGAGGAGATAGAACTTTCAATGATATATTTTTAAACACATTAGCTGATGTTTTTATCATAAGATTCATACTGGTCAAATCCTAACCTGAATTTCCCCTATGAAATCTTGGAAGCCCCCACATTTGTAATAGTGTACACCCATGTGGGGCAGGGGAGTGTGTGAGGTTTATATTTATTTTGCTAAGTCCCACACCACATACATACATACATACATTTTATTGGCATATATTCTGCATAGGTTTCCGCGTGACCCATTTCTTCTTCATCTTCCTCCTCCGGTTCATCATCTTCTTTTACAACAGGGACTTTCTAAAACACAGACAGAGCAGAATGGACCCAAAAACCAGAGACCACAGGCTGAGCCCAAACCCAGAGTAACTCTTACATAGGCACAACCCCAATTCTATGGGAAGCATGACAGACCACTTCAACACACCCAGAAATCTAGGTCACATATGCAGGGCCCCCTCTGTCCATGGCAAGCAGAGTATCCACACCTAACTCTCATCTCCACTTTCTGCCAGCAGCCACCACCATCTCCAGCTACTTTCCCCTTCAATACTGCCCAATTTCCTGTCTGACATCCCAAATTCTCTCCAGCCAGGGTGACTACAACCCCAGGACGGCAAACATCAAGGTATGGGGAGAAGAGGTGTGTTGGCCTCACCCCATGAGCCAGGTTCACAGGATTCTCCTTGCTGAGCACCCCTCCCCATCTGTGTTTTCCTTCCCACCAATCCTGAAGCCCGAATCCCAAACGACACTGGAATTCAAGGGGTCATTTTTTACCAACACTGCTTCAGCAATAATATATAGATTTCAGCACGTTAAAGACCAAAATTTGGAGGCTAAAACAACACAGGAATAAATGCAGTCTGTCCAGACAAAGCAGGACAAACTGAGTGAATGGTCACCAAATTCATATGCTCCTTTATATTTCTCCATTACTCTTAAAAAGGTCAAACTTCGTAGTTGCCTGAAATGAAATTTTAAAAATAAGATGTTGCACAGGTCTTCACTACCAGAAAACCATTTTAAAAAGCTCCTGACTGGCGAACCTTACTCATGGAAGAGTCTAGACAGAGGAAGACTGGCAGAGGCAAACTGGCCCTCCCTTTACTGACTGACCTAGGAGTCTAGAACAGAATAAGCTGCACAAATGCTCAATACGTGTAGAAAGACAACAGCAACCCCTGAGAAAGTTAGAATGTTATCATGATTATCTTAAAATGAGACCCCCAACTCCAGAAAACGAGAGACAAAATGGGACTGGCCAAAGAAACAGACTAGAAATACCAATTCAGCCACAATTCAATTGTGCATCCTTGGACACAGGACTAGAATTTTCAATCCCACCACTCTAACCTATCCTCCTTATTTCCCTTATCAACAAGGAATGCTATCCTAAGATAACTACCCTTTTCTGTCCCTTTCTGACATTCTTCCCCTTCTTACCCCGACAGGAAAATCTGGCTGTTTGGAACATCAGAGTCTCTCACAATCTAGAAACCACCCAGGTAGTTATTTCTAAATCAGTGAAACCAGCAGGATGTGAAACAGCACCTGATTCTAACCTGTGGGTCCAGGGGACATTGGGGGTGAGAAGCTGTGATCAATGGGATCAGGATCAAAGTCAGTTCCAGTGAGGTTTTAAGAGGTAGGAAATGTGGTTGTGCTCAAGGAGCTTTTTTAATAGACTCTGGATGTCAGGGCTTTTATGTGTAAGCAACAAAATCAAGATTTTTCAAAATACTGTTCATGTCAAACAAAACAGACCGATCGCCTGGTTTAGGCTGCCAGTTGGCAATTTCTGACAGTCATTTCCTAACTTCAAGGACAACACAGAGCTTTGGGTACACTATAGGGCAAGAGTTTCATGGGCTGTACTGAGAAGGCCAGCACAATGTGAGTTGTCTTCAGAAAGTTCATGGAAAGGCCCCTATCTTTTCATTATTTTCCCACTAACTTTTGGAAGATTCCTGAAATATTACGGTGTTTGAAGAAAAATGTATTCTGATGTCTCCAGAAACACAACTCCCAAAGCACTTCAGCACACAAGCATCCCATCAGCTGGGCACTGCCAGCACCGACTTCTGTTCCCCCGCACAACTTCAGTGTGAGAGGCTCTTATAGAACATGCAGCCTCCAGCTCCACATCCTGGCACGCCTTCAAGATGGTTCTGTGCAGTCATATCTTAATTCCTTCCCAAAACTTCACCCTTTAGCAGTTCCCCTTACAAACACCCCAGTTTAGCCTCTTATTACATCCCTTCTGGATTATTTACTCAACTTCTAGCCTGTCCATCTTACCGTCCCCCCTACACCCCCAGCCATGCAAAATCTCAAACAGGCCACTTCCCTCCTAAGACTGCTCATGAATGGCACACAAGTCCAAAGTTGTTCAGTTCTGCTATCTTAACAGAACCAGGATCTATCGTTCTAACGTGTTCTCTAGGCAAAGTATCCTGGCTTTTGTCACCTGAGCAGCAGTCCCACCTCTGTGCCCATGCATCAGCTCTCTCCCTAAAGTGCTCTTTTCCAAGGTTCTCCATATTCAAAACCAAAGCAGCCTTATACTTCCATAAAATCATATCTACCCAGGCTATTCTGGGTCCCAGAGACCTCACTTCCTTACAAACGCATAACCTGTATTATGAGGAACATACTGTACTTTGGACATACATCATGTAATTACTTAACCCACATGGTTGGTAAATGTCATGGAAACCATGCAGTACATTTCTTGTAATAACTCAATACAGTGAGTATGCATACCAAACAAGCCATTAAGTAAATGTACTCAATCAAAT